TCGCGAGGGACCTTCCGTTCCTCTTCATCCGATGGTTTATTTGACGTTACGCAAAGTGCGGCCAGAAAAGTTGCAAAAGCAGTAGGTCTGTCGCGAGATAGAAATTAACGGTAACGAATGGGTTTTTTTCTCTATTTTCTTTTAAATTACTACGTTTTAAACTATCGTCTACACTACATAATACAGGGTTGCCATAAAATTGGAAATCAGGGAAATGACAAAGAAATTGAAAACTGTCAAGGAAATCAGGAAAAAAATCAGAGAATTTTGCCAAACTTTCTGGAAAATAAAAAATCTTAGTTTTAAAGAAGTTTGATATGCGTATATTAGACCCTACAGTTTTGGAATATTTCCAACTTAACAATTAAATACAAGCAGTGTCAGCAATGTAAATAGTAATTTACATGCTATGTTAAATTGCTCTGTCAACAAAATATTTGCTGGTTAAAAAAAATCAAGTTGAAAGTACAAAAATTTTTTAAATATTATTGAAAGTCAGAGAAAATCATGTTATGTTGTTTGGAAATCAGGAAAAAGTTATAGAACTTTAGGACGAGAAATTTGTGGTAATCTTGTGACATAATAAAACGTTCTGTATATTTTAATCTACACTCTAAAAAATGTCGGTGTGAATTTAACACCCTTGGTGTAGATTTAGTACTCATGTGATGACTATATAATTCTCACCATGTTGATGTTAATTTAACACCAACACAGTGAGAATTATATGTATAGACATCGCGTGGTGCTAAGTTTATACCGCTATTTTAGAGTGTAGCATTTTCAAAGCTGGAATTTGATGTTTTTTGTTTCTCATCTTATATGCCATCATACGTTTTTGATATATGTCGCGATAATTAACAGAGTGGTGGTTAATTCATGTCAATTAAATCTGACGTGCACAAATTTGTTCGTGTATTAAGCACGGAAGTTTAGATCGAGCTTACGACACGATACCTACCGCAATTCCGAATGCGAGAAATTTTGGCAAATGGGTTATACGATGGGTTATACGATTCATTGCCTCGGGGACGGTCAGCGGTCGTAGGCCGTGCAAGGTTGACAGTAAGATAGATTTATAAGCTAAAGTTTCGCCGACTGTCTGGTCATTTATCATAACTAACGCGCTGGATCACGTTAGTCAACCCTTTAACTAGCGCGAGCTCACATATAGATATGCACGCGACACTTTACTTGCGACACTCTCTACCGCATTGCCCTAATATATTCATCGCGCGATATTATCTTTCGATACTAACAATATGAAAAATTATCTGATAATGTTGCTGTATGAAGTTATTTTTTTATCGCATAGGATCTATTGATTTAAAACACGATACTTACTAATTCATTATCGATCATACTTTCCGTACCATGACAGTTTTTATTATAACGCACGTGTTTCTTGTATTCTTATTTATCTTTAGTACCTATATATTATCATGTTTACGTTTTATATCAAATTACACATTTACGGACGAAATTAATTTTCTCTCGAAAATTAATTCGACGATTCCTTATGTCGAGCCTGTAGATATTAAATTCATAATATCAAATTATATCCAATTTGAATTATTTTTAATCATTTCTATACGTCATTTCTGTTTACTAAATATGTCGTTAATTTAACTGAAACAATGAAATTAAACGATTTAATTCAAGAAAATGTAGTAAATTGGATTGAATTTGATTAATTCTTTATTAAGTGCATACGTTAATATAGATGTTGTTTGCGTTGAAACTAACCTATTAATTAACTTATTAATAAATAAGATTGATTTACATTTTGACACATATGGAAGTAAAAAATAACAGAATGTTAATTAACTCAAGGGATTAGGTGTACTATTGATCTCTCTCCTTTGATATTTAACAGTGTAATATTAAAAATTAACACACTTGTGTGTATTTTAATTTTCAAACTTACAAAGACATGTCATCCATATATAACAATGCAAATTTTGGAATTAATGTAAAAAAAGAGAAATGTATATTATTTTAGATCATTTTTAGATCGGAGCTAAATATTTTTTTGTTATGTTATTAATCTATTACGTTTCCTATCGATCGGTGTCCTTTAATCGCGTTACATAGAATTTGCGGATCACTGCAATTCTCAAGCTAAGAGAGAGGGTTATTGGTCGAGGTACTGTAACAATCGTTCCTCGTTAAGACGCTATGCTGAACGCACCATTGTCTAATTAATGAAATTACCGAATTGCACTCGAAGCAAAATGCACCACAATAGATTGCAGATACTGACACCGAGTGGACCGGATTTCTATGGCATATTGACGCGCAACGGTGCCCTAATCTATTCTGGCTTTATATATCATCCGTATTCATCTCACACAATGCGCCGTAGTATTAATCCGCACACAAAGCAAATTGTATGATATTGTATTGTGCGGCTATATATTCATGCTGTCTTCATTCCTTCTGTCTCATATCACCGGAAAATTTATTGCTTGAAAGTAGTGTGTAATGTAAAAGACTCACAGAATAAACGGCTACAGTTGTCACGACCAAAAGTCGACCATCAATACATTTTTTGGTTGTAGGAACTATAGTACGATTGTGATAACTGTAAGGTTGGCATAGCTTAACGGCTGTTAAGATATGTCCATCTTACTGTTATCACAATCAAATATATTGATGGGCGAAAATTGTCATATTATTTCCGGTTGTGGCAACCGTAGCATTTTTTCTGTGCTTATATACGCACCCTGAGAGAAAAATGTTTGGTATTTGTAACTATAATTATATATTACTATATAATTATAATTATTACTGCTATAATTATTACTATTGATTGTAATTTTCTTCATGTATTGTTAATTATTACTGCTATAATAATAACAGTAACTATGTGTATAGTTCTAGCAACAAATGTATATAGTTGGCAATCTAAAATGATTACAATTATATATAGTTAATATATAACCATAAAATAGTTGAAATTACCATAAAAATGATTCAAGTGAATATAATTTTACAGTTCATTTGTAAATTCAGTTTCACTTGAATCATTTTTATGGTAATTTCAACTATTTTATGGTTATATAATTATAATTGTAGTCATTTTAGGTTGCCAACTATATACATTTGTTGCTAGAACTGTATACATAGTTACTATTATTATTATTATAGCATTAATAATCATAATTATATAATAATATATAATTATAATTACAAATATCAAACATTTTTCTCTCAGTGCACAGTACAATTGTTAAAAATATTAACTTTTCAACATATCTGTTCAAAATAAAAATTGTGTACGGTAATAACAGTTTTGCGGAAGTATAAAAAAATTTTGCTAGATACAGATCTGAAAATAATTTTGTTGGACCATCAAAATAATTGTGTGATACGTTCAAATTGTTTGCTAAAATATCAAAACTGTTTACAGCCTATCATATTTGAGATTCCTACGTAATTATTTTGGTCCCGCAAAATTATTTTCAAATCTATATTCAGCTAAATTTGTAAATACTTCTCGTTTTTTCCGTACGTAATAATAGAGGAGTACGTAATAATAGTGGAAATATTATTTTAATACGAGATTTCCATTAAGAAAGATTAAATACCAAGTTAACGAAATAGAGATTAGAGAAAGATCCACGTGCGTGCGTGTGTCATAGAGGAGTATGTGTTCTTATATGACATTCTTGCGGAAGAAGGTTTAGCCGGAATTGCTTCGACAGTGTAGTTCTGCAGTAACTGATATATGTCTCTTTGTAGCACTCCGTATGTAGACATAAGTCAATACGTTTCAACATTACCTAGCCGATTCGTTGTACCATTCGTGTTTGCGTTTAATCTCTTTCCTTAGCTCCGAGCTACCAGTCCCGACATAAAGGCATCGTAAAGTATCCGCTTTGATCTCTTTGCTCGGCGTAGCCTTCCTAATGCATACGACAGCGCGGCGAGATTATGCATTTATTGGAGATTATGTCGATATAACGTTTAGTGGTAGAAAAAAATTGTAAGAGACGTGTTGCGCTTCGTCGTGTCGTCTCGTTGATGATGGGAATTGAAATAACAAGGGAGGAATTGAAGCGCAAGAATTAAAGGCAAAACCTTTTTGAAAAATGTAATGAGAAATCCGAGAGATGGATTCCGTAATCCCTGATATATACAGCCTCTTTTAATGCCACGTCTACTTGCCACATCTATATACTCCTAAAATTTTATCTTATTTTTCTTTGTACACTCGTAATATATGTAGCTCCATTGTACATACGTATATTTCCGGGATCTGCGGTAGTTTCTATGAATGCGCATTGCCTTTTTCATTGCGCACCGTTGTCGGACGAATACTAAATGGCAAATAATTCATTTATCGAAGAAAGTAGTTCCCTCGTCGATTCTCGTAGCCGCGAGCCTTCAACTCGCAACCGCTGCTGCCGCCGCCATCGAAGATGCCGCCGCGAAAATTTCAGATCGTTATTTACCTTGCCGGGAGTTCAGAGACCGCCGCGGGACCGAGGCTCGCGTATGCAAATAGATATTTCATTCCTGTCTGCGGGAACAAGGATCGAGGTTGGGGGATAAGGTGATTTTCTCGAGGGAAATTCTGCATGGGGTACTCGGATTTGCCGAGTGGTGCGTTTCTCGTTTGTCTGTCCTTTTTTTCTCTTTCCCTTCTCCATGTCGTGAACCGCGATAGAAACAGACTGCAATGTACCTTCCTTCGATCTCGGCTTTTCTCCGATGATTCCTTCGGCTGCCACCGTCAATCTGACAAACGCAGACGGTTTATGTAGATCTATATATAGATTTAGAAATTGATTTAATTCTAAACGGATTCGTACGAATTTAGTTTGATAAATTACTGTATTCGTAAAATTAATTAAATTTCCGTAAACTAAATCTTTTAAATATACCTACTTCAGCAAAGTCGTTCTTTGTTTTAGTAATTTTAAATTTAGTAATTTACAGATGATAAGCGCGAAATAGCATTCACTAATAATGAATATGTTTCTTTTGTTTTTCAGGGAGGAATGCGGAGGTCGAGGGTATCTGAGACGACCGATGGGGTAAGTACAACGAACTGTTGAGAATTCTTACACTAAACGTAATCTCGGTTTAAACCGCCACTAGAATCCCAAGCCTCTTCAAGAGCCGAGCGATAATACCTAAAACCAAAGAATTAAGCCGGCATGCTTGTTCTGACACATCTCACGTTCTCTTAAAAGCACCAAGGTATAAAAGTGTAGAGCTGGCTTAAGGCTATTTTAATCATCACACATTTTCGTAGGATCTATTTTGGTTTTCTTTGGCTATGATCTTGAAATACGAACAAAAAACGTTATTGCGTAAAATAATTCTCTTTTTTTTTTATTATTAACGTACGTTTTTATCTACTTTATGGCAGCAATCTTATTCATGTTTAATGACGAATTGACAAACAATGTGTAAAATGTATTTAATTTTGATAATTTTATTTTCATTCCATATTAATATTAAAAAATTAATTATACACAATATATAAACTTCTTCATAAAGTCGAGTGAGCTAAAAACGATATTTGTAATATTTGCTTCAATGTGGGGGGATGGAAGAAAATATTACATGATTTCGCGTGAAAACTTTATGAACATGACTACTGGTATGATTGATCCGGAGTCCTTACACCCGTCCTGCCGATAATCATCACATGTGACGTAACTTGGTGCATTCCCTTACAACCTAAGTCGAAGTTTCATCGACACTCATTAGATCGAAGTAATTTCTACTCGGCAAATCGAAATGCACGGAATTCACGAAGTGTCGGAAGATTAGTTTCCTAGCAACCGAAATTGAAGTGGGCTTTGCGCGCCTCGTCCATTACAAGGACTTTAACCCAGCCTCGCTTTAATTACAACACATTTGCGGATTAAAGACTGCGATATTTAGAAGGGTCTCGACGACCGAAAGTCGACTAAAGTCCGATTGCGCAACCTGAAAGTTTATCTACTCGTTCACGAACAAGTATCACCAAGTTTGCCGAAAATATTTATTATTCATTACTTTAATATATACCTCCTATAAATATATTGAACCATGTTTTTGCTATCTTGATAACTGCGTGACATTATTTAAAAAAATCTAGTCGTTAATTAAAATGTATTCGTTGTTCTCTAATTTTTCTTATTCAATTAAAATTGAAATTTTAAGTCATTGCAGAAGCTGACTTGATTTATTCGCCTAAATACTTGTTTTTGACAGATACCTTTTATCTCTCTTCTAGAATATCCTATAATTATTGTAATGATATTTTGGAGATTAAGAATCAGGATTTATAATATGAAAATATAGATATCGATCATTTTTCAAGATATCTGTTTTCATATAAGAATTTTCGAAATTTTTTAAATGTTATTATATAGTAAAATGTTATTAAATTTATTTATTTATTTATTAAATATTTATTAAAATTATTAGATTACATACTGCTTTATTAATTTAAATTATTATATTATAATCATCTTTATCACATTATTAATTGAAGAGTTTATAAAGCTAAACATATGTCGTAAAAGAAGGGAGAAATGTATCTTAGGAATTTCTATTAAAATTTTATGCGGTACTCGAGTAAAAAATTACGTAATCCCTGCAGGAGTTAAAAAAGATCGTTATCATTCACGCTGTCTTCTTACAAAGGCCAATGTGCGAGAAGATCTTCTAGCTAAATGAAATGTGTAAAAAGCATTTTTGCGAAAAAGAGACGACAATAGGCCTTGAAAGCAGTTCTCAATTCTCAACGGTTAAAGTGGGAACGCTCGTAACTGAAAGTTACGACCAAACTTGATTAAGTTCTCGGGAAGGGTTGCCCGCGAAGAAAGAGAGCGCATTTGTTTAGCAGGGTCAGAGAATGCAGAGAATGAATGTGGCACGGAGTGGCTGACTGGTAGTTAGGGGCGTGTTTTTCGCGCCTAATGACGCGAGCAGTTAATCATTTTTGCTCGGGAATTTGCGCGTCACTATTGCGCAATTACTGAAAATTAATAGCCGACTCTCATCCCCGATTTGACAAGTATATATAAATCTCTTTTACGTTTACTCCAAACCTAAATATTTTATAACAAATATTTTGGGATTATAATGATTTATTTTTCGTAGCTTTGCAGAATGTTAATCATATATAACATATATTACAATACGTACACAGAGAAAAAAATGTGTCAAATTGTAATAAATAATTCTTATTTGAATAGTACTAATATAACATTTATTTACGGAAAATGATTATTTTTATAAATAAAAATAATAATAGTTACACACATCAAATTAATGGTTCTTGTACCAAATAAATATATGTTTACATTTAATAAATATTCAGCTGGAACTATTCAAACAAATAATATTTATTAAAATTTAGTACATTTTTCGCTCAGTGTATACATAAAATAATTATTAGTTGATCAATATATTAAATATAATACTTGTTATCCCCCGTCAAAGGATCAAGGTAACTTTTCTCATTGGATGGAAAAATAAAAATTTATATATATATATATATATATATATGTGTATATATGTGCAAAAATTTTCCGCTCTAGAAAGGAAAAGTTACATGATTCTTGATTATAAAAGTTACATACCTATACCTACAGATTATAAAGAGAAGCGCGATATCTCGATAATGTCTACAGCCCAAGCATACACAATCCGGAATATAAGAGACAGAATATTTGGCGTGGATTTATTTTCTAACATATAAAATATTTCCATGGAAAGTTAACTACGTAAATTACGTAATGGCTCTCGGCGTTTTGTGCTCAATGTACACAAGGTCATAATGTCATTCGCGTGTCAAGCCTTGGCCTGGTAGGCCTGAAAGGTCGTTGCATCTCATTACATTTTGAAACACTCGCGGCAGGTTCCATTACAGATACACGAAGCACGATCGATCCTTTAATTAATCGGTCAGTGATTAATTGCGAGATGTCGGAGTATTGTACGACGACATCTTCCTTGCATTATTTCCTTCGTAGCGACATAAGTAATGAGGTGCGCATCGGAAGTGTCGTGTAAAGTGTCGCGTGATCGTACTATATGATCGTTGACTGCTTTCACGAGTGAGTATGAATGCCATGATGTGTGAAGTAACGAGAGAAGCTGAGATTGCTGAAAGGAGAAGGAAGCTTAGGAGGCATCGGACGATGCAAGCGAAGGAGTAAGTATTATACTTTATCACTTGTTATTCATTTAATTATTAATTAATTTATTATTTATTATTTTATTAGTTAATCGTTTCGTCCTACGATAATCATGTGTGATATAACGCCTGCAAAAAATACTTTTGATTTTATTTTAAGAATAATCTTTCAAAATAGTAAATGTCAAAATATTTTTAATATTCTATATATGCATAGTATTTTCAAAACGCGTGTTTAAAATTTCTATTTATTATTTTTATTTTTTATGTAAGAACTGTGGGCTTTTAATAAAAGCCTTAAAGCTTTTAATAAAAGAGAAAAAGAAAAAAGTTTTATTGAAGGAAAGATTTTTGTTGGAAATTTTATTGCTATTTTATGCGCACGATGTTTATTTCACATGATATTATTTTGTACTATAATATAATTCTATATTGTATTATATAGTAAAATATTGATATTTTCATATAGTTTTGATTTGATGAAATCAAGTTTCATTTATGATGTTATATCTCGAACGACAAAAACCAGAATAAAATTATATATTTTTGTATGTACTTACGTGCTAAGTAAAAATTGTTAATATTTGTGTCAATAAGTGTGTTAATTTATGTCTTTTTTTTCTTTCCTAAATATTCTTTTAATAGGTACGCTTTGAGGTCTTTGGCTTTTATTGTTCTAAGATGAAACGTTCTATAAAGCTATGGCACACTAAAGAAAATAATACTTGAACACGATAGATTTTTTAGTACGTATATGTGTCACAAGATAATTAAAGAAAGGCACAAGAAATATTTTACATCGGAATTTATTTCGTATAAAAATATCGCGCAAAAAATAATTAATCACAATTTTCTTATAATACTAAGTTTATTCTAATTTCTTTATAGCTTATCCATTTAATTATGACTTTATTTTATATAACTTGAAATAAAACATGAGATTTAATAAATATTCCATCGCGCAGAACAAAATAATTTACAATCTGCATTATCTCACTTTTATTCAGTTGCATATTATATTAAAATACGTAATATTTGAAGTAAATCTTATATTCTATAATAAAAACAATTACAATCTACTAGTAATATGATGATATAGGATATTTAATTTAATGGTCATAAAAATAAAGATGTATTAAGATGCATTAAAAATATGAAAAATTTATATTGACAGCAATATAAACCGTACAGGATTATTCGTTTTAGATCTCACATTTTATTTGGAGAGCGTTATCATCCATAACTGGACTTTGGATGTTTCGAAAAGTATCTGATTAAAATTTTTATCAACTTATGAAACTATGAATATATTGAATTTATTTAAAAAATTATGAGAAAGGAGGATGGAAAATTATTAATTATTATTATGATTTCGATATATTTTTGTTAGAGTCACCTAATATTTTAATCTTTAAAAAACTGTTAAAATATTATACGATGATTTTTAATTATCCTATACAAATTTTGCAAATATTTAAATACGCGATTGCATTCAATAAAAGACTTATATTAAGTCTAAAATTAAGTTGATGATTCTATAATATATAAAAAAAAATAATTGTTTTGATTAGCTTTAAAGAGATATGGGGAATGTATAGAAATATACATATATAGTAAAATAATGAACTGCTTTTAGGAATTGCATTACGTAAGAAAATATGATAATTACGTCCTGCAGATCACTGTAGTTATTCGAGGACTCAACTAATTGTAAGTTCACGGAGAGGTCGTCTACGAGGTGAGCATTTGTTCGCGGTTTGCGAGGGTGAGAACGGCTCGCGAAGTGGCTCATAACATCGGGCGGTGACAGTTAGTTAAAAGCGCATTTCCTCGCTTCCATAGCGAAATTCTCGTCACGCGACCGTCGCCGTCGCAGTCGGAACTAACAGATGTAAC